GCAGCAAATCAAAAGGCGACAAAATCAAAATGTCATTTCTACTTATAGAACTGTAAAAACAATAAAAATCTATGCATCATCCTGTGATACAGAAACAAAGTAAGCACATTCAAGACAACTTCAAAACATCAGAACAAAATGCTCTTGATCATTGAAATGTTTGTGTGTTTCCTAGGATGGCTTTAATACCACTGTCGTAAAGATGGTTAGTGTACCTTTCTATCCGCCTGTATGGCTACAAACAAGTAAACCATGCTGTTTCCAACGTTGGCTACAAATGGCCATATATGGTGGGGGAAGGGGGGGGGTGATCTCCATGAGCCAAAAGAGCCTCTGTATAAAACATTTACAGTTTATTTAGCCATTCTTATGAAATGTTTAGGAATTTATATATTTAGCACCAAGGTGCAAAACCAAACTTAACTGTTAGCCAGAAAATATCGATTTTCAAGGGATTTGCTATGTTTATATTTGGTTTGTTTGAATTCAAGCACAAAGCTACACATTGGGCTATTTATACTATGCCCACCACGGGTATTGAAACCCGGCTTTTAGCGTTATAAACTCTTAGACTCGCCGCTGAGCCACTGGGGAGGAGCTTTTTATATTTGGTAAAGTGTCGAAAATAAGAAGAAATTGTTTTTAAACAAAGATGTTTTCCAGTTGTTTTATGAGGAGCTACATGCTCGAGCTTTGTAAAGTGTGCTTTCAAACTATTTTCAGTAGGTTAAGGAATACTAAAGTCTTGTAAACGACATCTGTTCAACATCCCTCTGATCAACAAATCACTACCCTACAAGGGAGTCACATATATCCATTGAGCATTAAAAATTTGATTTTTATAAAGGCTAATTCTGTCAGAAAAGCAAACAGCGGATCAGTTCTGGTCATCATGGGTTTAGCTTAGCAGAGTCAAATCTCTTAAAGTAGGGTTAGGCGTGTTTATAATCCTAATTAGAACTCACTGAGCTTTACCTTGAATTCGGATGGTAAATAATAAACCCCCAAAATCCGGTATGTCTGTACTTACCAAATCAACTATAGGACACTATTGCATGATACGTTTAGTAAATAGAAACCTGTATACTAGGAAGCGATTTTTTGTACATAACATCTCAAAGCTATCCTACGCAAATGTCATATTTGATGTAAGTGGCCACGGATGTGTAAAGTTTAGCTTGAAGGCTTATAACGCAAAATTTCGAGGTGTGATCCCTGTGGTGTACACAGCTCAACTAGCCTATTGTGCAGCTTTGTGTTTAAGCAAAAACAAATAAAGATATCTGGAGAATATAAAGGCTCCATCTCTACTGCATCTGCTTTATCAAATACCATGTTAGCGGCAAAGTATCATATAATTATATGCTTAAGGTTTTGAAACGTTTTGTTTGTTTCTTTGTTGTTAGCTGCAATGCTACACTAAGGACTATCTGTGTTGCGCCCACCACGGGAATCGAAACTCGGTTTTTAGCGTTATAAGCCTTCAAGCCTACCGCTGATCCAGTTTGATAAACGTAAAGAAAAATACTATTCCTTGTGTTTACCGAATCTTTAGTTACCGAAGCACGTTTCTTGCTCTTTCTCACTTCCATCTTTCAAGCTTGTCTCTTGCTGTGCTTCCACGCCCATATATTTCTATTTCCGAGATAGTTAGGTTAATTAAAATAACATTTTTACTTCAAAGAGGCCGACATCTACTTCCTTTGCGGATTTCTTATAAACTTCAAATTGAATTAATGGAACTGAAAACTGTACCTTACAAAGTAAATGTTGACTACGTAGAGTAGGGTGAAAGAGAAAAAAAAATCCCTAAAGCTAAAACAAAATTAACAAGGAAAGTATTTCAACCAATCCATTGAATGCATTTAAAAATAGAAAACAAAGACAATTTTAAACAGTTGTTATGATACATTCTGTTATCCGAAACATTAACATTAACAAACCGTTGTGGTTCATCTGGTGTGATTTGTCTATATGATCGAAATATTATTGTTAGCAAGTTGCTGTGATTCATTTTATAAGTGCACTGCAGTATGTCTGCGGATTTACAACGCTAGAAACCGGGTTTCGATATCCGTGGTGGGTAGAGCACAGATAGCCCATTGTGTAGCTTTGTGCTTAATTACAAACCAACAAACAATCATATAAGTGGTATTTGAAATATTATCATTGGCAAATCCTTGGGCTTTGTTCTGCTACAAAGGAATATTATCAATAACAAATGTTTTTTTTTTTCATTTAATGACTTTTTATTCTTTTTTGTGGTCTAACCATTTAAAAATCATGATATATATATGTAATATTGAAACATTGCTATTATTATTTTTGCTTGATGGATCTTCTTTAATTTTCTTAATCTTGTTTGTTTGAATTTATGCACAAAGCTACACAATGGGCTGTCTGTGCTTTGTCAACCACAGGTATTGAAACCCGGTTTCTAGCTTTGTAAGTCCGCAGACATACCGCTGTGCTACTGGGGGCTTCTTAATCTTAAAAACATAAAAAATAGTGGAAGTTTCAAAGGCAGGAATTAAGATTTAATGTTCTATGTAACGTCTACAACTACACAGCGTGGTCACAAGTAAGTAGACACCACCTTTTCAGAAAAAAATGAAATTTTTCAGTCACATTCACATGAACTGAGCTTAGTGGAATGCGTTGGCAACATAAATTTTGCGAAATACGCCGAAATATTGGAGGCAGGACTCTTGCCACTTTATTCCTCGGGTTTCGTGGATAAGAACACAACGTTGTTCCAGGAAGATGGAGCACCGTGTCACACTGCTAGAAACACCCAAAAGTGGCAGGAAGAAAATTGCCCTGGCCGAGCCAATCTCCTGAGATGAACCCCATCGAAAACCTCTGGTCCATACTGGACCGGCAAGTCAAGAAACAACCGAAAAAAACAACTTCGAAGAGCGATTACTCCAAGTTTTGAAGCAAGAGTGGGCGAAAAATCCCACAATCTAAAATTGACGAGATGATTCTCACGATGCCCCAAATGATCAACGAACTCCACGAAGCGAAAGGAAGATCTACTAGATATTAATTAAATTATAAATATATCGATCTCCCACCAACCCAAACAGCTCCCCAAA